GGGGCTTGGGAATGGTCCCTGCTGATTGGTTGGGGATGAAGTCATAGAGGTTTCAAAGCCGTCTTTGTGCACAGAGCCTTGGAGCTCAGCTTGTTTGTGTGAGTCACGTTGGTCCACGAAAATGCAAAGTCTGAAAAATAATCTGGAAGACCCATCTTAGGTTTTACAATAGCAATCGGGGAAGATACAAGTCTTGTGATCCCCGCAGTGACCTGACTCCAGGGTAGTCAGTCATTCTATAGAAACAAAACTAGGGGACAATGGCTGGTGACCATTTACTTCTGTCTATAGCCTTACAGAAAAGTGTGTGGGAGGCTGATCAAACTCCTGGATACCGTCAGGGAGGTCAGGGAGGTCTGCATGACCTAAGACTCATTGTTTAAGAAAAAAATAAATTCATTGATCTCATGGGCAGCTTTTCCCCAAGGGTCAGAACATGAAGATTATCAATTATAAGTGACTTGTCTCTACTGAAGCACCTATGTGCAAGCAATCTTGCAAAGAAGGCAAGTTTAGAAACAAAACTCAAAAACAACAGATTTGTTAACTTTTGCAAGACTCATAGCTTTTCCATAGCTTTTACCCTGTGGCCCTGTATTAATTTTACATAAGTGAGTATTGATTTGGGGATTACAAATAAATTTTAGTGGGTAGGCCACCAAAAAACTTTTTTAAAAAAAGGATTAGGTTTCTTTGAGCCTCTGGTTAGGTTTCTTTGAGCCTCTAGTTTTACAACATGTTCATCAACCAATCAACACATAACCTTATCTTATGTGTGTTTCTGTTTAACGACACTTCATTTACTATATGTTATTGACTTATTAACACTGAACTCACTAACAGCACTATAAACTCATGCCTGAATGAAGTGTATCTTACTGGCTTTCCTATGTAAGCACATCTCAGTCTTCTTGCCTTTATACTAGATAGCGCTTCAGCATCATGTTTGAGGGCCATTTTAAACAGCACAGCACCAACTGAAGCACAAAAATACGAAAAATATGACACAGCATAGACCACAGGAAGGACATTTATTTACAGTATGGTAGTTGAAATAAGACTGCAGAAGGTCACCCTGTTTGACCTCAGCTGTGAACATGTGCTTCAGACAAGACAAATTTTCCACCACTCTGGACATGTGTGCCCTCAAACGCACTGCGAGTAGTGATTTGGGGATTACATATAAATTTTAGCAAGTAGGCAAATTCACAGATGCAGATATTGCAAACAATGAGGATTGACCATGTCTTTTTAATCACGTTTAAAGTCTTGAGTTGGTAATTTATAGATAAATGTTTAAATTTACTTATTTCTTGGTACATAACAGAAAAGAATGGATTACCTCTGCTTAGTCAACAAGGAAACCATCTGCTTCCAGCAAACATGGATGCCATTCTTTAATATACTTCTCAGCCCTTGAATGCCTGTAAGTTATATAACATTGTACTTTAGTACATATTTTACAATTCTCTTTGTAGCTCTTCTTGGCTGACTTTATTTTAACCAACTTTTTGCTTTTTTCTATGCATTAGGACAGGTTGTAAGTTATGCTTTAGTGCAAGCAAGAAAAAGTTGAATGACTGGAAAAAACAGAATATCTGTCAGTTCCAGACATTCTCAGAGGAAGTACCTGAGGGAACTTTTTTTTTTTTCTACAGAAAAGTAGTTGAAAAGTAATCCTCGAGTACAAGGTTGGGTTAATGTTTGTGCAACATACTGAAAGAGTCGATAAAATAGCCATGGGTGAGTGAACAAACCACGCAGGTGCAAGGAACTTGGCAGAGGTGATAAAATAAGTCAAATGTTTACTACTGAAATGTCTTTCTTTTCTAAATTAAAATCAGGAATAATAAAGAACAACCAAAAGCAGATAAAATTCCAGAATACAATTTTTATAACTCTGACATGAACTCTGACATATAAGGCTGCAATTTCTGACTAGTACATTTCCATTACTTTTGAGGGTCAACGAACAACCTTGGAGAGGACCAAGGTCTCTGAGAGACGCAGCTCAGCCTACCAACTACCAGGAGAAACGTTTTGTGACAAGTCCAACTTGTTCTACTTGGCTTTCAATTTCCCCCCACCTTTTACCAGATCTGCATGATGAACTTTTACCAGGTCTGCATGATGAAATGTAACACTTGAACTCTGCCCACTTGCAAGTCTCAGGTCTTTGAGCAATTCATCCGATAAATCTTTCTGGATCTCAATTTCCATATCAGCACAACAGTGCAATATCAATTTCCCTGAAGGCTTGTTCAAAGAACTAAAATTAGCCTGGCTCACTATAGGTAGTCCACAGTGTCAGCTACATAAATCTAAAACACCTAGGCGTACTTGGATACTACTCCTTGGAATAACTGATTAAGAGGGATGATTTTGGTAAGGGAGGGACGGGGAGCTCTCTGGGAACTGGGCAAAGTTAGACAGCCACGGCTCATCCAAGTTTTAAGAATTTTTCCCCCCCAAAAAAAGCTTTGTAAATGTTTCAGAACCCCCAAATATACAGGTACTGACATTAAAAAGTTGGTTTAAAAATATTCCTTCAGAGACCACTTCTGATCCTCAGGCGTCCTACCAGGTCGGTAAACCTTCTGTTTTGGGGATAAAAATAAGGCTCCTTTTAAGTACACGCCCTCAATTGATAACCCACCCCACGACTCAAAGGCACTGTGAGTCGGTCCGAAGCTCGTGGCTTGCCGTGGGGGGCGAAGCGACTCTCCCCGCCAGGTTCCGCGGGACCCCGTGCAGGGCACCCGTAGCTCTGCAGTCACAGTTCGCAGAGTCTGGCGCTTTCGCTACACGCGGAGGCCTCATGCTGCGCCGCGGGCGCTCCAGGGTCCCGAAGAAGCAGCCGGCGCCGCCATCTAGCAGTTTGTTGGGGCTGGGCCGGGGACAACGTACGCTCCACCGCACGCCCTTCCCCGCAGCGCCTCCGCGGGGAGCACCGCGCCCTGCTCATGTCTGCACAGGTAGGTCACTGTCCCCGCTCGCCGGCCTTGTCCTCCGCTCGGCAGCCGCTCTCGGGCCACATCCTGGCCTGCCTCCAGCCGAAGGAGGCCCTGCCCCTCCCGGCATT